TTGCTAACCCATTCCCCCATCACCTCCTCTGCCTTAAGGAAAATTCAAAGTCTTCTTTGGCTCTTTTCCTCTCTTCTACTCTTTGGGATCCCTTTCTCTCTGATAAGGAGATAGAAAAAGCCTGAAGCATTAAAATAATTTAAAATATAAAAAGCCAAAAAATAATTGTTTTGAAGTAAAGATGCCATTGTCTTAGTGTGCCGTAATATTCACACAACTTGTAGAATTGTCCCAGTCTACATCCTAGTAGTTAGGATGGTTATTAGTCCATTAGCCATGGACTAATATGTATCCTTCTATAAGATAAGGCTGATGGTAAAATATTAGAAAAAAATAAGATTTAAATCTCTTATATTTCATGCAAAAACACAAATTAATAGATAAAATTTAGTAAATTTAAAGGAACTAGACGTTTGTATGACCTAAATGAGAAACTTTGAAACTCTTTTCAGGTAAATAAGGATACATACTAGAAGTTGAAAATTTTCAAATAACTTTAGCCAACCAGAAAAGTTTTCCAGTAAAATTATAGATGAGCTAAAAGTTATTCCAGAGTCTCAGCTAAGTGCTGTAATTAATCCAAACAATGCCTCAGATCAATCTTCGAAAAGACTCAAAAATAAGTGCATTAATATATTTGGATCACTCTAGACTTACCATTTATTTTTTCCACTGAAAATACCAACCAACAATATATTTAAAACACAAAAATTTAATATATACTAGAAGTCTTACATCATTATTTGCTAGCAACAGTAGGTATTTTCTGATTTTTTTCCAGTTTTTTCTAAATATAATGGAAACAATAATGGTAATGGATGAAGCCAAAATGAAAGATAATTTAACAGAGCAAAGAAAATATTTTTTACTAATGAATCAGTATTTTTGAGATCCCATTGCATGTAAAGTGGTGTATAAGAAATACTTTTAATTATGTGGGCGCCTGGGTGGCTCAGTTGGTTAAGCGACTGCCTTCGGCTCAGGTCATGATCCTGGAGTCCCAGGATCGAGTCCCAC